TATCCCTACACAACCTCTTTATCCATAAGAGGTTGTGTAGGGTAGGCTATTATGTAAAAAGTTGGAATTCGTCTCTTTGTTACAGTTGGCGCAAAAAGCGAATGATCACAACAGACCTCTTTTTTCTTGCAACTTGTGAACAATCACTGCTTTTCTAGCTAGAAGACCACAACATCGATCGCTACACGTTCTATCAGCCGTTCTACTGGCCGACATACCGTTATGCAGCACGCCGTGCTCTCTATGTGGATCCGATCCCAAACAGCCTCGGATTCGAATACCCGGATTACTGGTAAGTCTTATACATTTTCAGAAAGCTGTTCGTGCTGCTCGGGGACATTTTGACGCAGAGTGCCCAAGGCATTTGAAACCGTGAGAGACATTAAACGTTGACATGTTGAGAAAAGGCGCTACTTGCTCAGTTCTCTTTTGGGCCAGAGGTTCTCCCACCCAATACTCTCTCACTCTCTAAGTGGAACTGTTGAAGTGTACCAGAAAGTCCACTGTACCACAGGCCTATCACGGGTCTGCAAGGCTGCCAAAAGGATTTGTGATGAGTTTGCTTCCGAAGGAAAACTGCATTTCAAGTGTTCCGGTTTATGCTCAGCTTCTTGCGAGCTTGTCTCTTGCACTTTTTTCGGCTGATTGGGGTCCAGTATACTCTACCTGTCCTCTTGCTTGCCAACATGGTTCCTTGCAAAGAGCAGATGAGAAAGCTTTGTGGCTTCCCATATCCTAGAAATTTCCTTATTGCTCAACGTTCTCCCAGAATCAGTTCTGTAGCCAGGTGGACTGAAGCGTACAATACTGTTGTCTACGTGTCGGCATTTTTCCCACAGGGACGTCCAACAGCCATTTGAAACTTGATTACCGATTTTTAGGACCCGCTACAAGTGGTACACAGACTGGTTAAATCCGACATACTGGCGTCGCCATCGCGATCCCAACTACGACCGACCTCTTTGGAACAGCTGGCGACCATGGCAGATGGATAGGTGAGTGGACCCCAGTTCAAAGAAGATAAAAATCTAGAATCACAAAAAATGAGTTTTTCACTGCCGATGACATTTAAAAGCACTCGCTACGACCAAATATTTACCGCAGTTAGCGCAAGTCTGGAAGTAGAGGTGCAAATGGTCTTCTAATGATCACAAAAGGGAGTGAAACCTCGAACACTCAAAATAAAGCTCCTCAGTTTCTCCGACGGTCGACGTATTCAGATCTGTGAGAGTAGAAAGATTCTAAGGCTTCTATTGTGCTGTTTCGACCATAAAAATGGCACATCTGTGGTCTTCCGATAACAGCTCTATCTTATGCACAGAATAGATACTCCTCCTCTTTGGTGGGACTATGAGCCCATTGTAGGTACAGTGAGTAGAGGATTTCTTTATCAGAGTGCTTTCTGTAGTCTCCTTTGCCCTTTTGTTCACCTTCGGGTCGATAGTGCCCACAATCCATGTATTTGAACCTTATCCAGGTCTTGCTGTTATAGGGTATGTGCTCAAATATCTATGCCCCCGAAAAAATTCAATAACACAATGAGATGCTGTTTTCCAGATCGAATATCAAACGCGCTATCGACATGTATCGTAATGGCCACATTGATTTCAAGACACTTGATGACAAATGGATCACACCATCTGCATATGGGCGATACGGAAAGGATTGGGCTGATGTTTACCTTCCAGCTGGTTAGTTTTCACTAAACTGCTTCCATCGTTGCTGAATCGTGACGAGCTACCTGCGCTACAGGCTCAAAACTAAACCTATACCCGAATTTTAACTATACACGACTAGAACATTTCGCAGTAGCGTCAGTTGGCGACAACCTAAGGTCAAGTTTTGTCCACTGTATATCGTAGCACGTGGGAAGAATGACTGATGGTGCGTTTGATGACCCCATGTAACCAGCCAATCACAGGCATATTTTGCACTTTCCGTGGGCAGCCATTCCTTGCCAGACTGGAACGTTGGCCTAGAAACTCGGCAGGGGTTCGTGTTCAGCGTGCTGCGTCAGGGGAGTCACATGTGAAGGAGCCTATTTGGACGATAGGTGTCCACAAGTGATGAGAGCAGAAATTTAATCATTCTCTACTGCCACCTACTCTGCTCTGAGGTGGTTAGGTCGAAATAGTGGAGAACGGGTAAAATGAAAGGATTGGATGAATAGGATGGTTAGGGAAATAGGTGATACAAAACAAAGCTCGTACTCGAGAAAAATTCCTTCACGCTGCACTTGGTCCTGATCCCTGCCACGTGTACTTCTTTGTAAGCATTAGCAATGGTTCTCCCTTAGGCACTCATGTCGTTAGGGAGCGGGGAGGGGGGAGGGGGTGGTACATCGGAGTGAGTGAGCCACTTACAGATCATGGGAACTAAGCATAGAGCGAAGAAGTGATTCTGTTGGAGAACATAAGCAACCTTTGTTGTCCGTGGCGTTTCTCGATCTGGGGCTCGGTTGTGCCATCTACTAGCGCTATCTAAACGCCCTGTACATGACCCCCCTTAGGGTATGAGCGCCCACCTACAGACTAAACCAAACAAGTTAACTTCCACGCTCTAAATGTTTCCATTTCAGCCCGCTATGGAGCGCATCGCTACTTCTACTCGTTTTCTTAAGCCGTCGTAGATTGTCTTTCGAAACGCCTTTCTCTTTTTATCTGCGAAACGGATCGATATTCACATGTAAATTACTAAAAACGCTACAATAAAGCATCATGTACACATGTGTAAATATGAATAAGGGAAATGCAGAAGGAAAAAATTGCATGTGAGTACTGAATTATTGAAAACTGTAAGGGGGAGAAAAGAGAAATAATCGAAATAGGCAACAAAAAGAACTGACAATCAGAAGCGCATGAAAAATCCATGAATCAGAATTCGAAAATCAAACAACATGAGAACTTCGCGGAAGAAAAAAGTCAGCATGTAATAACAGATAAATAAAACTGGTAATATGCAACAATTATCATGTTAATAAGCAAAGTGGAGCCTTACAACGGTCAGTCTGATAGTAATCGCTTGACTTTTTCATTAGCTCCATCCATTGCCATATCACTTGTTTCCATCTGAAAATGACTTATTTATGCATCATCGTAGTCGTACACCATCGAATAAGTGCGTAGAACCGCTAACAAAAGTCAGTACCAGGCTCTGTATTCGATCAAGTTTCGGCTCCTGAATGCTAAGCTGCACATTTATATCAACAGCTAAATGTTTGATATTGTCCAGCGTCTCGTTAACCTGTCGAAGGTTATCTTCAATCTCGTCTTCAACCACCGCGCCAGTCAGTCTGGTAGAAAGAAATCAGTAAGGACCGGTAAAGCTCGAAGAATGAAAAACATGATCTAGTTTTCATTAAGAAGAGGGAAATGAGCTCGAAAAACAGTGTGTGGTCAAAGCTTCCTTACGTTACCGACACTGCTTTAATATCAGGTTGGCCAGATTGAAATGTCGCTCCTATTTGCATCGTAGTTTCTGACAAGGAAAGGATGGTAGGTCGAAGTGACCGAATAAAATGAGATGTATACGCCTGATGGCTCTCTAGACGCTGATTTCAAATCTGCCTTCCAAATCTGCTAAACGGCTCTCCGGAGCGGAGTTGTGAAGCGTAATGCTCAGTGGTGAGGGTCCGGGTGGCAGGTAAAAGCTCGTAGGCATTCGGTTCCTTTGCAAGTTTGATGCTTTGCTTTTGTCGGAGACACTTCTAGAGACAAAAGCAAAGCAAGCAACTGCAAAGGAAGTGATCCTAGAGCTTTTACCTGCCACCCTGAAGCTCACCACTGGAGCTATTACGCTTCATAACTCCGTTCGGAGAGTCGCTTAGCAGATTTGGAAGACAGATGTGGAATCCAGCGTCTGAAGTCGCATCAGGAGTTATACATTTCATTTCAAACGGCCACTTCGACCTACCATCCTTCCCTTGTGAGCTATAGCACAACCTCTCACAAGGCGGGTGCACTCATTCGAGAGATTGTGTCCAACTGCACTTTATGATGTTGTATCTGCCTGTGAACGTTTAAATTCGAGCCACAATTTTTGTTTGAAGACATTTGGTCAGAAACATCGTGTGGACATGTGCATGTGACATAACAAAAACAATGGAAATTGGGTAAGGAGTTCTATCGTGCTCTGTGCGAAATACTCGACAGTGAGGCGCACTATCCTGCGGCAGTGCCTGCGATGTCCGCTGCGTCTTCTAATAGGAGGCAGGAAGCACAAAAACGAAATTTATCAGAATTTTCTTGCAGTTCTGGCCGAATGAAGAACTCAGAAATGACACTTAACGGAAGTATTCACGATGTGAAATCCTAAGGGGTTTGGCTACACTGCAGCTCAAAAGATAGCCATTTATGAGTGGTTGGTAGAGTAAATCGGTGCAAAAACTAAATTTTGCAGCTGCAAAACGACACTTGCCAAGCGGAGTGTGTTGCGAAAATAGCGCAGCAGAAAATCGAGGAGTTAAGCTGGAACGTTCTGCCTTTCTCGCCATTTAGCCCATATCTGGCACTGTCCATTCACCATTTATTCAGGTCAGAGTAACCTTCCTTAGAAGGGAAGGAGACTGAGTAACCGCGATGACGTCAATATTTGGGTTCCCAACTTTTTCGAGTCGCAGCTGGGAGAGTTCTTCGAGGATGACATCCATATTTCGGATGGTAAATGTAGAAAAGTCATAAATATAGATGGGGAATATATTTGAGACTCAAGAGCTTTGTTTTTGTTTTTATAACAAAAACAAATGTTTTTATTATAAAAACAAAAGCAATGCTCTTGAGTCTTGAAAAAAATTGATAAAATGTTAGTCAAAAACGACATTTCAAACTGGCCAACCTAGTACATATAAATACTTGTCGTCCTGAACGTGAAAGGGTGATAGAGCGAGGGTAGTCCGAAATTCAGCATTCAACGCTCAAGGCGCTCTTCGAGTACTCGTGAGGAAAACCTTTGAGTAGAGACAAGCATTTCAAAGAAAAGCAAAACAGGACCTTACCTGGTTAGGAATGCTCCTGAACCTGATTTTTGACTCGATCTGTGCTTCACAACGATAGACGATGAAACGGCTGCTCGGCTAAAAGAAGTAGTTGATATATTGCAGTGCTTGAGTTGAGCAACAAAGAAACAAGCTTAATAGTTGTATGTAAGGAACACAGATTCCCTAGAAAATCAATATAATTTCAAGAAAACCAATTACGGAGTTACATGAAGTTACCTGCTTATCTTTTGGGAAGGTTGACTTAACTAACTACATAAGCTAATCGTCCTAGTAAGCATTAGTGTAAAAGGCAAGAGGTACGACAAACAAGTGGAATTCAGAGCCTTAGAACTAGGAATTACACATATATTTAATTTGACGCGAAATTACTGCACTATGGCTGCGACTCGTCCGTTAACTCGTCCGTTAACCCAACGCGCCACTGCGGACCTCCTGACGGATTCCCGAAGGAGCCGCACCCGCCCACAAATGCGGTACTGCGTTCTCTCTTCGCTATGCTCTCTCGTCCTCGTCTGTCGTTCCCTAGCCACGGCGCTCAGCACCTCTGTTCTCAGACTGCGTGTCTCCCAGGCTCTACATTTGCACATGAAAAGAGGAGAAACTTATTTGTTGTTCTCAGTGATTTTCTTCCCTTCTTCACTGCGAGTCGTGGTACTTACCGCTCCATATTTGAGCCCATATTTACCTGTTCTTTCTTGCGTAATGTGTGTACATAGTTAGCGTGCAATGGTAACGATATTTCCTCAAGGTGCGCCTCCAAAAGGGATAGAAAGCAATACCCAAAGCAATACATGATGCGGTCAGAGAATAATGAAGGAGGGGGAAATAGAATAATGAAACACTTAGTTGGCTTTCTACAAATTTTACGGAGCACTTCTTGCAGCAATCAAAAGAAAAAGAAGAATGAAAGACGCAACACAAAACATCAGTGGAGATTTGTCTTGTATAGATAACATTATATACAATATTCATATGGTGAAAAAATATTAAATAGATCGATGGGTTTCTAATCTTAGTTGGGGTCCTGGCCATTTCTAAGTCTTACTAATAATGCGAAACTCACGCATTGTCCTCTATATCTTTGTTCCGACGAAAACGTTTGAGAGGAAAACTGAAATAGCTCCATATAACTTTAATGAGTGCGTCAAGTTGGGTCGATGGCACATACCATAATATAGGAAAGCAGCAACAACGTTCCATTTTAGTGATGTCACTTGTGACCGCTGAGATGTCGTCATTTATCTGGTGAAGGTTTGCTTCGAGTTTATCTAATTGCTCTGCAATAATAAGAACATTAAAGCACATTACGATTACTTGCAGATTTTGTTCCTGAGAATAAAAATAAAGGTGTGACTAGCAATGGCGGAAGAAGGAAGAGAAGCCGCCGAAAACATCCAACAAAGAGCCCTCCTTCGGACTGTGCACGAACTATGAATGAGAAACAGGAAGCACCTTGAAGGTTTTTTGAAGCCCGTTGCTAAGAGAACGAACACGGAATGGAGGCACAGTCTGAGAAGCTAGAGAGCCGTTAGGCCGATGTCAGACTTTGCCAATCGCGCGATTCGCTACCAGCGATTCGCGCGATTCGCTAGCGTCCGCGGTCGCGTTGCGGTACCAGCCAATTGAGTGATTCACTGGCCGCGACGCGACCATAGACGATAGCAAATCACACGATTCGCAAAGTCTGACATCGGCCTCATAAGGACGAATTTCCCTTTCTTTCAACAAGGGCTCAATAGCGAGCAATCCAAGTGTGAGCAGTAAAGATGCAAGTCGGAATAATCCCACAAAAGACAAGCGTAGGTGGGAAGAATACTCTGCTAAGCTCCTAAACTTTAATTTTCTCGCAAATACCACCGACAAAAAGGTCCCATGGCTCTTTGAACAGGTAAATTTTTCGAAATGCTCAGCCAGCACGGACCAAGGTACAGTCCACACCTCGGAGTCTGATTGGGCGTGTCACCGGAAATGACGTGGCAGCCACCACCTTTGATAGAAGTGCGCGGCTAAGCTGCTTCCAACACGGTTTGCTGATAAATGGCGGAATGTTGGATCCACACGCCATCTACCAAGTGCGGTGGCCGCCACGTTATTTGCGGTGATACGCCCAATCAGACTTCGAGATATCAACGGTACCAATCGAAGCATGCCAACAAAGGGGATATAAACGCTGAGAAAGTGGTTCTTCCCAGGATGGGAACCAGGGCTATACGCACTCCGTCCGGCCTCACGCCTCAGGATTTTGAGAAGGATCAATGAATACGATATTCTTTACTTACGAAGCCCCTTTAACAGCAAATAGCAGACAATAACTTTTGAGAATATAGAGTCCGAGTAGGTAGTAGTAAAAATATAGGTTGAGTAGCCTCTATATTTCGTATGGATGGAGGTGTCACAGAAAACGTCATTCTCTATTCAGCAAGCGTCGGCCCCATAAAATATTACCATAAAGTCAGCTTCACTCCGTCGAAATGGTAAAGTTGAGATAGGCTAAGTTGGACGGTGCTGGCTTGTGACATAAAGTGGGTCGTCAACACGTCACACTTAGGCAGAACGACCCTGTCAACTGAAGCAAGGATGGCGACTGCAGAGAAAACTCAAGAAAGGGAAAACAGGGAATCGCGGGAAAAACATTGGACAGAAGAAGACTCTTTCTCTTTGGCTCCCTCCGCAAAGCACATTTCACGAGCGGAACTCAAACTTACTGTAAACAACTATTACCGTCTTGATTTTCAAGAGCAGATAACGTCATAACTCCTTCTTCGTTCATTTTCTCCAATTCGGCGACCATTCTATGCGTGCAGCCAAGGGCCTAAATTAATCGCAAGGATACTCAATCAGAAATTGCACATAATGTGCTAAAACACAAAAGCGATAAAAAATGCAAATGCGGACATAAGACATTCACCACCAGGGAATTCAATCTATAGGATAAGCCACTATCCGTATGAGGACTCCGTGCTCTACCTTTCTTCACGATTTGGGGCGCGGTCGAGGCGAGCGCGGACGATTCCACAGTTCCTGCGAACTGTGGTGGTGGAGCGTTTTCAAATTTACCCGCAGCGGGCACTATTAATTCGGCCCAGAGTCAACCCTGCGTTGCGCATTTCTCAACGGCCACGTTGCGCAGTTTCGTCCGATTATACACGTTCTCTCGCACGAACATTCACACTCACATGCTCGAGCCGTCTGTGTCTCCGCCTATACAGCGTGCGTTGGGGATCTCTCGACGTGCCGTTGCGAAGTGCGCAACGCAGGGTTGACTCTGATTCGGCCGCGCTCGGCGCGACCGCGCCCGCCGCGGCCGCGCCCCAAACCGTGAAAGTGAGGGAGCCGGACTCTGTTTGAATTCTACCGTACCCGGTTCTTGAAGGGGCCACTCTGGCACCATGCTAAGTGTGGCAGGCGGATTCCCTTGCTTCAAACTTCGCGACAATCTGCGGCTTCACATTTTCTCCCGCTGGCTGGTATTGGAAGGCAAAAGAGCGCATCCAACGTTTTAATAACAACTTGTATACCTAGGTACTGCCAAAGAACAGGTTAAAAAGAATGATCTCGCAGAACTTCAAACAAACTGCCATTGGCAAACTTCCAAGGAAGAAGTAGTTAAAAGACCATATCAGTGCGCCCAATGATTTGTAGCAGACGACGCTAGAGTACACCGTGGAGTATACCGGCGACCCGGCAATATCGGTTTGTAGATGCGTACGTGTGAATTCTTTCAGAGGGCGAAAGTGCTGGAGTGGCTCTACCACGAACCGGGTACGGAAGGATTCAGACAGATTCCTCATAGGATAGTGGCTTATATGTATAGGTCACGACATACCGATTGCAGCGGCGGGGTCATCGCGCGCGCGGCGGTCACATAGCCTACCCGTACTGCATGTGTTGCGCACTCGACACCGATGCCATGAAAACGGGATCCCTGACCCACTTTGGAAATTGTGTACAAGCCTTGAAAAATTTCCTGCCATTTACCTCGTAATTCATACGTAATATTTCAGCATCGAAATCAACTATTTTCAGTTTCAGTCGCTCATTCCCTTCTCCTTTGCTGAGTGGCTTTAAATTCGGGATACTGAAAAGATGGAGTCGTAGTGAAGAATATGTCTAATAAATGGACTCGAACTGTTATTTACCTTTCAACATCAATGCGCTTCACTGCCATTTTTTAAATGCAAAACGGAGAATTCAAGAAACCCTGAAAGAGTCACTTTCTCATTCTTAACATGAAAACATGTCCGCAGAAGAACATCTGACGATCAGATTAAAACAAGTCGGACCTCGAAAGACTTGAAAAAGCATTTCAAGAAAAAAACTAGCAAAATGAAATTGTTGGAAAAAAAAACTTATACGAACAAGTTGAAACTTCCATACTTTTTCTAGATTGTATTGGGAAATTGTGTAGAAAAATAGAAAACAGAAGACCGTAACCTGAGATTTTTCTACGAGTCAGATCTAGAAATGAAGATAAAACTTCTAAAACTTGCAAATGAGCGCAAAAATTCAAGTACTGCCACAGCTATTAGATTTACTGTTTGGAAGTGAACAATGGAAGCACGCAACTGAGTTCTCAGGTTCGCTTCGGATCGGTTGAGTACTGCTTCAAAATTACCCAGAAAAACGATAAACCCCAACGAAACGAACGAATCAGCTCGGTTCGTCAGCAGGTTAATTTTGAAATCAATTCGGGTGAACATTTCGAGAGATGCCGATAAGGTGATCGTTATCACCACATTGACGCTATTCAGGAATTCGAAAACTATTGGGAATGGCGAGAATTTCAATGAAGAACTCACCAACATTTTGGAACTTTTTAAAAATTTCTTCTTACTCTTGTTTTCATTTCATCCAGCCGTCTCACCCTCCCGAATCAATGTTGGTGATTTTGTAGACCTCAATGAGTGGAGTCGTGTGACTTAAAGGCAGTGAACATGACGGTTCCAGGGTGGAGCGGTTTAATGACGTCATTGATGCCAATGTGGAGCAGCAACCTCAGCCTTAACTCCCCTCCAACAATCATGCGAATTACAGACGATGACAGCGCCACTCAAATTGCTCCGCCCTGATTCCATCGTGTTCACTGCCTCTAAACGCAAAATTCAATGCTCCTTAAGTGCAACTTTTTGAATGGCTCATTGTTCACATAGTTTCGGTTAACAGGTTATTTTTTGAATTTCTGATCGTTCTGATTCTGTCGCGTCCAGCAAATGTTCAGCAGCGTTCAGAGTCCCACCATCCTCAGATTGTAACCAGGGGTGGAAGAATCTCGGGCCATGGCCTCATAAAGCTTAGGGTGACGGTGAGCTTCGTCCTTGCGAGTTGCCTTTTATAATTTTCGAACCTACTCTGGGACCCACTCTTAGCTCTTGATTTCCGCACTGATGCAACTTTGTCATCAGCATACCTCTGCTACGGGCTCCTGTGGTTGGGAATTGTAAGCGGTACCTTGCAGAGACGATACCGTTACCCAAAGCATTCTCCTTTCTCGGGTTCTAGGTAGTAGCTAATAATTTTTCTTTATCCCTATCCCAACCCTACCTTGATTGCTAATGGGGCTGCCTTCTCATAGAGAACTCCGCCTTCAATGCGTTGCACTGGAGCGTGAGAGGGCTACCGCTTCCGAACCCATCAGTTAGAACGTTTTTTTTAAGTTCTGTGGAATCTGCATCCCCCATGAAAAGCCACATTAGTGCGCCTGTTCAAAGCAGGAACTCTGCTCACTTCACAGCATGATGTTTCATCATGGCTACGGAATGTAGCGCCTGTGACGCGCGCGCCGACTTTCCATGTTCTGCGACGAGGACCTCTTGACCGACACCCGAATACGTGATGGCTCTCAGTCACACTTCCCCCTTCGCTAGCGCTTACGAGAGGAGTGCTCACCAGTGTGTTCATAGAAGGTACCAATAAACAGCAAAATTTATTGACTTAAATAATTATTCTTAGAGCTGCACAGTTCAAAAATATTAATCAGTATCGATATAACCAAGAATCGTGATGCTGTTACAGTCGGTTTTATAACCTAATAGGCTATTTTCGCCCTAAACTAAATACATTCACCAGTCTCGATATAATCACAAGAATAATTGATTGGAATAGAACATATATAATTCACTCTGACGTCTTATCGGCGTTTACACCGACTCGAAATCACATGTAATAACTACAATATACAAGTATTATCATTGTAAAACAGACTCCATCGGTTTAACCTTGATCCGAGTCCATCACACAGTTACCATTGGTAGAAACGACTCTCCTTAGTAATGCCCGAATATGTCCGATATGGCTTCGACACTGACTCTCGCTCATGTTATCGTTCCAGAACTTTCGAATTCCTTTCGCTAGCTCAATCGCACTTATTGGTTTGAACTCATTCCTAAACCGAATTCAGTAACGTATCAATAACCATAACATTCCATTATTACCATCGTAGAACGGACTGCGGCTGTCAGTATCGCACCTGAGGAAATGCATCAGGTCTTGCCAGACCTGCTCCATTGGATTCAGATCAGAGCTCTCTGGAGGCCAGTTCAAACTCATTATGTTAAGGTCATTCAGCGTCTCTTTAACACGTTGGCGACCAAGCGGATTTGAGGGTGTCTGCCGTGTGGGACCACGGAAAACCAGCACGTATTTTTCTTGCAACAGTTTGTCAACATAGCAAATTTAACGCGCTGATCACGAATATGGCATAGATTAAAAGCGTTCTCGCCATTTGTTTGCCTCCTAATTGGCGCTATCTTGGCGCCACGATATTTCCCTTGTCAAATTCAGCAAACACCTATATGTGGTAGTTATTCCCTCCGCTGAACACGAATAAGACCCTGGTCACGGACTCGAAATTTGCGGCGCCGAAATGGCTTCAACTGACGCAAATTTGGCGAGGAAAGTCTGCAACTTGAGAGGCATCGGTTGTACGAGCATTATTAACCCGAATGAAGACGACGTTTTAGAACATAGTAAGACAAAAGCGAACGAATCAGAGACCAATCTAGCGGACCGAGGCTATGTTCTGCTAGATCAAACCTCTTTCGATAAAGAATATGGAATTCATAATGATGCTGCTGAGACTGCAGATGTTGTCGAGGCTGCTATAGCATGCTTTCCTACGAACATGGTAGCTACTATATTAGATCACATATAGAAAAGTGGAACTCGATGTAGTACTTGTGGGGGCTTCTTCTGTATTGAATACTTCCAAACGCGCCACAATTTTTGAGAGAAATCTCAACTGCTAGTTGCGTCATATTACGTTTTGTGTTATTTTTGAAATGTAGTAAAACGATATCAAGTGAAAAACCTAAGGCAAATGAATATTATTAGCCTTACAGATATAGAAGTAATCAGAAGAAAGAAAAAATATAAGCATTTCAATAATTTGGGGTGTCGCCCGACATCGGGTGCCATTGTCGCCAATGTGTTAATCAAACGTGTTCTGTGAATAGAGGTATCGTTGTGAACCATTCTGCACCGCAAGGCATACAGGTCTCTAGCCAATGGTAAGTACTGCTCTTGAATCAGTTTACAGTGCTGTGCTGAAGATAACGGTACCTGAACATTTTGAACCTATTTCAGTGCAAAAAACTCACGTTCTGAGTTTGAAACACTAGCCAATCTCACCTTTCCATTCAAAATTATTACGGGAGTTGCTCCTTCACATGAAATTCCTGCCCAAACATGAAGTGAATCGACGTGTTCATCTGATAGCCCTCCTCTGGTCAGCCTTCCCGTGGCTTGTTCGATGTGAATCGTTGTCTCGTCGAAGAATACCACATCACAGAACTGTTCCTATTGACAAGCAGATAAAGCAGATTAACAAGTTCAGATGAGTAGAAGTAGAAATGAGCGATAGTGTACTCAGGGGGAGGCATCGTATGTGGCAAGCGAAGCCATCCAACATTCCCCCTCCCATTCCCCTCATTCCACGCTAAGACTCTCGGGTAGCTAGAGAAGTGGATGAGAGAGCAATTCGTTTTTCCCCGAACTCATCCTCCGCAAACACCTCAATTCGCCGCCACCCCCTATCCATCCACTCAACTACACTAGCGCCTAAAAATGCAGTTGAAACAATTAACCCACATTTTTGTCGATCATCTCTTCACAAAAACGTGTCCTTCTCTCTTTGACGGAGTCGCTGATTGGTCTACTGCCGTTTCTGGGTATTGAGGTGTTGAGCCCGATTTTACGCAAAGCTCTCATCACAGCTGTTTTCACATTGGCGCTTGTTATTCCAGGAATTCGATGGGCGAGAATCTTCGCAATTCTGCTCATTGGCAATCTCTTGAGGTACAGCGAATACACCAGACTGCATTCAGTACTGGTGAGTTTACGTCGCATGACCTGAAGTTGTAGAGGAATAAACACATAGAGCAAAGGGAACCATGCAAAAGTAAACGATAATAACCACCATTCCAAGACATAAAGTTTAAACATAATATAGCAGTCTGTACCCATCTGAGCTTATTTATACATAGCCTGCTGACCGCTGTACTTGCGCCAATGCGCAGATATCCTTAGGTATGCGGATCCAACACCTAAGGCTTGACCATAGACGAGGTCGGCTGACCCATCTTTCCCAGACTCTGCCCGCTATCAGGAGGGCCCAGCGTCCCTCTCTTTGTGATACTGAGAGATACTATCTAAGGGTTGGAATTAAGCGCAGTAAGAGTGGAACAGAGTGAGCTCCGTCCAACTGTCACTGAGCTTTGATTCATAGAAATCAAGTATATAAAAAGTGAAGAGGCACTATCAAACTTCATAGGAGTTGCGGTACAGCAAAACTCCGGCGGTCGTGGCCGCCCACTTGCGCTCACCTCGAAGGGGCGAAAACCATGCTGCTCAAGCCATAATTTATAGTATCTCGTCCTGCTCAGTCCTGATTAAGGAACGTTTATTCTTTGGTTCCAACGGAATCCTGCAAAAACCTTTGAAACAACATCGAAGCGTCTATGAACTTGTGTAGTCATAGCGTGAGTTCGGCGTATTTGCATCTTCTGGGAGCTTCGTCTTTAGAGGGCACTAGAGCTCCTTAAACTGATGACAGCCACGTGCTGGTCTAATCAAAAACCTAATCCATCAGATTTGCAAGTTTGATTATACCCTGCTCTAGCAAGGGAAGGTAAAATCGATGTTGTAGGGCAATATGGCTACATCAGCTCATAGACGGTTGACTGAGGCTTGCGGTGGAACTGTATAAGTGATGCAGGACCAGGCCGCTTGAAGAACCAACCTGCTTCTCGTTCATCATGTGAAGCTCTGATACCGGTATATCATGCTTTAATGTGATGAGCAAAGGTCCCCACAAATAGCACAGAGCGGAGCTTCAAGTTCAGTGACATCTGCCAACGTGAGCACAAGGAACAATTCAGGTATAGAGACATCGGAAGTTTTGAATCATTGAATCGTTCCCTTGGCCAGATATCTGGAAACATTGCAAATAATTTCAATGCATCTTCTTCTTCTCCCTAGCGTTAGTCCCGCGCAGTCGCAGGGTCCACTGCCTTTGTCAGTCGTCGCCACTTCGCTCTGTCTAGGGCACTTTCTGCTGTGGCCGTGATTTCACTTAGGTCCTTCTTGATCACATCCTTCCACCTCTTCTTTGGGGCACCTCGCGGTCGCTTGCCTTGCGCTTCGAAGTCCATTGCTTTCCTCATTTTGTGATTCTGTGGCCTACTTAGCACGTGCCCATACCAAATAGTTTCAAAGCACTTGGAAGACGGGAATTTCCTGCTTTCCGCGATTGTCCTCACTTTTCTAAATCTCAACAGTGGTTGAAGCTATAGTCTCAAAAGAGCGAAAATTCGCACGCAAAGTTCATCGACAATTTCGACGAAGATATCTGTCAGTGGACACTTTATCATGAAAGGGCTTGCCGGAGAGCTGCACACTCTAACTTGCTACCTGCAGTAACTGCGTGCTGTTTTTCCTTCCTAAAATGAGCAGCCAATTTACCTGATATGCCCCTCCCAACTCATCTCGGAATGGTTGAAGATCCCTCCCCTATCGAAGACCCCTTGGGGTGATTTCTCCGTTTTGTATTCTTCTGACTACGACGCTTCGGTCTTTTCAATTTCTGACCACGACACCACGAAGGCCAATGCTAGGTGCTCCAAATCATGGACTGCCGATATGAACTTTTCTTCGTTGGAACTGGGAGTTTTTTGGGATCCATTGGAGGTATCATTATGAATTGAACTCTGTTAATGTGGCGATTCAGAAAAGGCACATATGTTTGATGTCAGCGTCGGCTGCGCCGAAATGCATTTGTGCCACGATTGTTGGAATCTTTCCGCTTTGATTCGCCATCTTCGTTCACTGGATATCCGACAACCACTTTTGACAAACGATGTCGATGGTTGCCGATACTGCCTTCTCGAATCGAAATCGAGGGATTAGCAAAAGAAGTAGAGGGAAAAACTACATGAATAGCTTCGCTTGATTTGACGGTTGTGAAATCTAAATCTTCACATCACAACTTCTACATGGAAGCTTACACTGTATAATATGTTTCTAATATTCCGAAGCAAACTGCCTTGAAAACTGCTCCTCTTCCACAATTTTGGATGCTTTTATTCCTTCCTCTTGAATGTAGTTCACAGTCTGTACTGATTTACTGAGTATGAAGAAAATGGAGCTCTAAACATCAAATCAGTCGCAATTTCTTCTGGAATGCACATGCATTTGATTTCCATGGCGATGTGTGCTGACATACTATTTACGTACCTCACCGATGCGTTGACTAACACGATGTTGCAATAGCGTAAGTTGATGTTTTTTGTGCGCTTGAGGAAGTCTGGTTCATTTTAAGTGAGGGATGGAAGGCTTGGTAGGCATAAACGGGGCTCGAGGGGTTTGACTTCCTAGACGATGCGTACGATAAGCTGTGGCTGTGCTCGTTGCCCTCAGGAGTGGACAGGAAAGTGAGGAATACAAGCTTGTATTGGTCAAATGGTTTTAAGTGTAGCGTTTTGTGTCCCTTTCCGCTCTTCTTTCTTCCCCGTCGAAGTCTGTGATGCATCATTCTAAAAATGGCACGAACTAAGTACTCACGGAGCAGTAGAAGAGAGGAATCTGGCTCACCCTGGCCTATATTCAGGATATAAGGCATAGAGCATCCGCGTAGCAGCGGCACACAAAGAAGCTTTTCCCCCTTGGAACTCGAATTGTCGCCTTGAAACGTATGTGTGAAGAATAAGATGGGGGAGGGGTCGTATGAGAACCTTACAAAAGGAGAGGTCATGCAGGCGCGGCCATTTCATCGGTGCGATTTCCACCTAAGTAAACGACGTCCGTTCTCTTCCTTTCAGAAGTGACTTCCATAATGGCACCAGCTTACGATGAAAAAAGTTGCAAATAGCTGCAATAAAGGTCACAATATTAGGGAGGCGAGGGAGGGAGTAACGAAAGAAGCACTCATCACGCTCATTTCAGAACGAAGACTCTTTCGGTGGCTCAAAAGCTTCTGAAGCCTTTTTTTCCAAGGAATTGAGCCGCAGAATCAGTTCAGCCTTTACGATAAGACTAGATCATCCTTCTCACATAGGCAATTGTTTCAGTCAGCTAATCGTGAGTGTTTTTGTGTTTTTGAGAGAACGGAAAGAATTACAGTGTCATTATCCCTCGATGCTTTCCAATCCAATGCTTTCTAGTGCAAGTCCTTTGGTGTTCGTGAAACAATGGAAGACTGGAGATTAAGATGCTCGATTATCAGCCACTTCCAAGGCGCACGGTAACGGAATTTCAAATTCAAATTTCAAAGTTATTCCGTTACATATTCCCTTGTTTGTTACCGTTTCCCTGATATGGTAGCTTTGATTGAAACTCTGCAACTAGATCCCCTATCGAGTAGACACATTCAGTTGTCCTACATTGAGGTTTTGTTCTGGCCTTTCAGTAGTGGTACCTTCCGTACTGGTCGCCTCTGATAAGTGATAGTTTCGCTTTGTTTTTTGTCTCCTTAAGGCCAGAGTGTCACAGTGTCATGTAAGCATGCACAGTGCACACTAAATGGGCCGTAATGGCAAGGACTTGGTCTGTTCCTGGAAGAATATAGAGATTCCGCATAAAGCTGGTGATTTCTGGATATAGTGGAACATAGGTGATCTGAAGTTCACCGCGGGTCCAATTCCGCCCAGATCTGCTTGAAGGCAATGACAAGTTGTCAGGAATAATCACCTTTGGTTGCTTCTAGTGTTAGAAAGCTTTGCACAATGAGTAAATTCATGAAAAGACCACAGTCAATCTAAAGTGACTTGATGTAGTTTTCCGGCGACTTTCATCAGAGGAATCCGATGTCTCAGAGTCAAACTTGCTTAAGCCGTAGTTAAAGAGAAACAACAAATTGCGCCTTCATTGGAAAGATAGCTCTGGTGATTCCGCCATCGTAATGAAAGGAAGGCGAGAAAACCCATCTCGTGTTCCCGGCGGGATCGTTTCCTTTCTTCCTATTGCCTTGATGAATATCAATTCCTGTTCGGAGAAAGTTCCCTGGTGGACGAGTGCTTTTCATGTTACACATAGAACTGTGAATATGGCCAACAGGACACTGAAGTGGTCTTTTTCCCTTCCAGCTAGCGTCGCCCAATCTACAAGACCACAAAAGATTCCTCTTCATGAGAATGGCTACAAATAAAAGTGACTAGATGGTGTTCTGCGCGCCAACGCTTCCTGGCTTATCACTTAAAAATAGCATTTGAGGTGGATCTGTTTTTGCTAAAGCTAGCTAGAAAGCCGGAATTGATGATTAGATTCGAGAATTGATTTATTCGGGAAACCGAAATCTCGTACTGGGGTCGCAGCGCGTTTCTATCGCGGATTCGTCACATTATCGACACGATGGAACATGTGATTTATTGCTTCGATTGGAAAGAAAAATACTATGATTTCCAGAAATGATTGTGTTTGGTAGCAAAGAATGTTCTGATCAAAGATCGTCAAATGCCACAAAACGGGCTGAGTCGTGCGCCGAGAACTTCGCAAGAGGATCCGCACCTATTCTTCAGAAATGTGAGAAAAGATTTCTAAGGTGATCTTCGGGAAAAAATTCAGTGAACTTTGGGAATTTAAACAGTGGAATACACAAGTACCTGGAATGAGCGAGAAATGAAGAGTAGATGAATAGATGGATTCCAGGGAAAATTCCTAGGAGGATCTCGCAGTGGTCGAGTGAAAGGTAGACGTAGGTAGACTTCCTTGAGTGGATTGGATACCGGAAGTCGTGTTGACCACGAGGTTTCCTAACCTGCATGAGTAGTGAGGTTTTCCTTCGACGATGGCAATGTAATGACTTTTTTCAGCGGCCGACGTCGCGTGGTGGCTGACGCAACATCCACAGGGAAAAGGTAGGGAATGGGTCCAGGAATTTTCAACAGAAGGTACAGATGTGTCGAGGAGAAGTGCTTGCACGGATCGCCGCAAAGTTTAAGAGGGGTTCTTTATCAACATTTACTTTCTTTCTTCCGATTAGCCTGAACCAGGGAACCCTCAAAACCGCCAAGGTCACAATACTTGACAAGGGAGTTGCTAAGGAGTTTTCTCTAAGCTCGCAGCTTCCCTAGACTTTTCTGAGTGTAGACACCCTGTGAACGTCCTCTCTGCAATTCCAAGGTTGCGGCCTGAGGAGGACGAAAGACAGCCTCTTGTAAAAAGCAATGGATTTAAGTGTTGCCCATATCAGTGAAAGAATCCATACCACTCGAAAGACTGTTAGCTTATTGAGCGATTGTTCTAGAGTGAATCACCTTCCGTCTAGCACTGTCCCCATGCATTAGATGGATGAGGAGGGATGTGGTTCAGATGCCACTGCCTACAGTACACGGTCAGGGAAAAAATTTCTGATCGAGCAGTGCTCAGAGCAACCAAGCCTCTCATCCATCCTTTTGCGGTTCGTTGCTAAACTCATCTGGGAGGATAAGAACATTTAATCGTTCATTGGCAGGCCGGGAAGTAGAATGCTCCGCGCATCTTGAATAGGAGCTAGAAATTCATTGATTATATGATTTTTTGTTCATACTCCATACAATATCTGTTTTGAGGCCTTGCCTACTCTCGCTCACTTTGATCATAAACACTTTTGGACAACAAAGGCCTTCCACCGTTGGGGAAGGAAAGCAAGGGGTACCAAACAGTTCGGTTTTCGTCATCTTCCCACGTATTGTTGAGGCGTACTGCTCAACAGCTTCATTAATAATCCCAAAATCAGTCCAGGAGTGGCTCAGAAACTGCCACTTGTCAGCTACTGCACGCATCCGTAGTATTACATAGCTTTACGATAGCAGCACAAAGTACCAATGCAAGCACAGCTTAAGGTCCTTGCTGGAAGAAGATGACAAGCCAAGCGATGCGCTTAGATGAGCGCTATCTTTAGAACGCTCTCCTTCGTATGTTTCGCTTTTTTGGCAGTCGAACTTCTTTTACGCGAAGATTCCATCGAAGTTCGTGCTACCACGCAAGCTAATCTACCGTTGATCCAACTTTCTACTCTTGCGCACACACTATCAGGTTATTTCACGCAGCCGTGGTTTAGAGCTCGCGATACACGTTACTAGCAACATTATAGTCGTGTACGGCGAGTTTCAGCATGATGACCCATATAGATATTGCGGTCTAGTTTGTAAACCAGGTGGAGAAATCTGAATACAATACGCATATATACACATATAAGAGTGTATGTGGTGTGTATATGCGTGTATTCATTGGTATGTGTGTGTGGCGTGTGCACTTATCCGGGGATCGGATCGCCTGGATGACCCGATTTCGGGCCGGACGACGACGCCTCACCCACAGGCGGCCATCAGCAAACGCCCTCTCCGCCTTAGCTGACTGACCAACACCACCTTCACTCGGACATCGTCGTCGATCCAGCGATGCAGCTCGTCACTGCCTCGCCTATTCAGTTTCTTCTGCTCTTACTCACGTTGACACACAACGTCGTCGCTGATAAGCCACTCATCATCGAGAATGGGGGTAAATCACTTCATTTTTTCATTGTTCAGTGCTTAGCGATGCTCATTTTACTGTTGGCCTGTGCCAATTAGTCCGACGCCCTTGTAAGGCCATTGGCGCGCGCATAAAGATGGTATCATAAGGAATTCTGCAGCTATAGGCCAAATGCATTGGATTACTTGATTTGACATACCGAACAGGATCAGTGCATCATTATCTCCAGTTCTGGAAGGGAAACTGCGTACGTAACCGGTTCTCGACTTTTTGTATGTATCAGCAGCGAAAAACGAGGCGGACCTCCCGGCCCGAGCGATGTTTGCGGTTCGGGTTTTAGACCACAAATGTTTTGCTCGTCGGAAATGTCGCACCTTTTTCTGTATGACATGTCGTCAATGCAGTCGTAAACCGGCATGACGATGATAGGCGTGGGAGAGAAAACGCTTGTCTCGCCGCTATCCCCGTGTCCGATCTTGACCGGAATCGAAATCGAAACCTGAGTCGCACGGCGGTTTCGATTTCAGCTATCGCTGACCCATATACCCGACCACGTATCGGGAATTCAATGATGAAGATGCTCGCGTAGAATTCATTGTGAAATTCCCGTGATGTAAATTGTGTTCACAGATGCACGCTCATCTCTCGTATAATAGCGGCGGTCGTTACAGAAAGAAAAGAAAACGGGGCACCAACACGTGGAGGAATTTCGCATGCGAATTTCAGATTGACGTCCCGCTGATTCGGCCACCCCATTCAGTCAGAAACGATCAAATGTGAGCTGATTTGAATATCTTCTTTTCAGCTGTTTGCGAAAATAAGGCGACCGGATTCTTCGTGGTCGACAATACGATTCTTGGCACCACCGACTCAATTGTTTACAAGGACACACCAGAAGAAGACTGCCTTACTACATGCTCCACAAACAGGGTAGGTTTCGATTATTGTGCCTGAATTGTTTCGTTACTTGTCGCAGAAGTTACAGCATGGTCATTGAGTGTTACATTTTGGGTGAAACTCCAGTTCGGGGGGGCCACTCCATTTTTTCTCATACTCAAGATAAGGATTAGAGCGCTCACGACACGTAATCGACTCATTTAAAGTAGACTTCTAATAAATGTTGGTGTAATGGGAGAAACCCTGAAACCGTTTCACATTTCGCCTGCCATGACCCAGGGAACGGTCCTGAACCAGGAGAAAGGACACCTCCGGAAGGGGCTAAGGGTGCAGGAGCTCTAGGGTGGATCACCTGTGCAGAAAAGTGGATGGGATGTGGGCAGGTAGTGTGGAACGTAGGACATTCACCGGTCCTTATCAAAAGTACGCTCCAAATGAGTCGTTCACTTATTATCTTATCCGTAGTGTTCGATAGCCTAAAGAACTGCTCTCTAGTACTACGGATAAGATACCAATGGAGTGGCCCCCCCGAACTGGAGTTTCACCCACTTTTGGCGCTATCGCAATATATGGGGGCACTATGATAGAAAAATTTGAAGCTTCGTAGAACATGTCTTTTTTTGCTAGAAACGGAACTAAGCCTTGGGCGGGGGCGAGCGACTCCAAGGTGCGTGAGCATTTTCATTTTCTCCGGAGCTCATGCCCCCTGGGCTTTGTCCTAGAGGCTCGCCACATGTATTGCGATACGGCCCATTTCTTTATCAGATTAATCTTTCTTGAACAAAAGCAAACCTGGCGCTCACCGCTATTCTCATCTGCTAGCAATATCAGACAACAATTTTGTTCCTCTTTAAGAAAACTTGTGTAGCTGAGGGTGCTTCAATTTTCCTCCCGGCATCAACCCCATCCATAGTCGGGGTCCATTGCTATATGTAATTCGTTTATATAGATGTTCTGAACCGAGTGCCAACTACCCTCTTTTTAGGATCGTTTCGGCCGTTCAATACTGTGCGCGTCGTTTGTGTACGACCATGCCTCGTTTACTTGCACGATATTCAAAGAAAAGGCGAAACCGGAAGGAAAAGCCGACGTTGTGCAAGCCGTCGGAAAACGCTACTTCGAAAAAGTCTGCTTAGGAGGTGAGGTCACTAGTTGCTTGTTAAAGACACGCATTGAGCCAAGCTATCACTACCTCGGGTGATATATTTTGGCAATGACTTTACCGGATGTGTGAACTGGTAGATGAGTTGGGTTACTGATCAAGTGGTTCACTGTACATGAAATATGTGGTTCAAGCTTTCTACAGTCGATTTAGACGATGTTCCAATGGACTGCGCAGATTCGCAGTTCATTAGGGCCGATGATTCTGTCTTGATCGGTTTCGCCCGCAACGTGACACTTGTAGAAACAATGGAGCAATGTGTAGAGCAGTGTGTTAAGGAGAACGATTGCAAGGTAAGCAAACTCTATTCCTTTCATTCCTTCCTCTCTTCGCTAGTCATTATGTCCTATCAGTTTTCTAATTTTCGAGTGTATCGTACTGTCATTAAAGGTGATAAGGGAGCCCTTACCGTCATAGATGGATTGAGGTAGCTTGTTGAGCTGACAGAGAACCTCAAGACAAGCCGCTCTTCCAGACAATCTCACAGCCACATAGTTGACACATCTTAGTTGCCTGACACGCAGCTAATGTTTTTCAAACCATAAATCACAGAATTAGGCCAACTGTGCGCAACCTCAAAAATGCCGGCTAGCCACCGGTCGGTAATGATGCTAGCTTTCTTTTTTATTGGGGACATTCGTTCTGAGAAAAAGGGTGCATGCCATGAAGTAGACAACTTCTGCGGCAGTTCAGTTATTATCTAGCTCCTTGAGAAAAACCTCATGTCACACTCACACGTGATAGCATTGTGAAGTATCTCAGCTTCGTCAGGCAATTGGGTAAATGCCCAGTTTGAATCTGATAGAATTTATCAGAATAATAAGGTGTTTGCAAAGTTCTACCCTACTTTCTAGCTCCACAAAATATACGATTATCGATTTGTTCTCAGTGAACAATGCGAACGATTATTGATTAGCGTGTCCATCCTGTTTAAATCCACTAGGTCACCATGGCAAAACATTTGCGATTTATCGCCAATTCCAAGCATAATTTTGGTAATCTAGCATGAAGGTGTCGAAAATTCAATTCGTTTTTAGTCAGCCATGTATTTCTATGAAGAGGGAGAGTGCATAACCAACACGGAGTCAGCGTTGTCAAAGCCAAGCGCATTCGCTAAGGAAGAGAACGAAAAGGTCGTCTATTTCCAGAACGGATGTCTTGCCAAGCTTCAGACCCAGGGTTGGTGATTACGGTTAGATCCAACCTTGGCCTCGGACGGGGTTTTACTGTAGTTATCGTGTTTAGAAAGTGCTACCGTTGCTGCTGAGCCGACGACAACGTCGGAGTCCAGTGAGACGACAGAGGAGATGGAAACAGGTGCTGGATAGGCGCTGTTACCCTCATTTCCTAAATGCCATATGCCTTTTCAGTTTTCTCAGAGAGATTGCATTTTTGTTTGTTCACTGCTTAGTTCCGCACAAATCACAGGCACGATCAAGGTGTTAGTGGGAATGTGTGAATAGATTTGTTTCGTAGATTTCACCTGCATAGCAAACTAGGTCAGGACTATAGAGAGCGTGGAAAACGAAACCATGGTAATTATAAAGGTGGAAATAGGAAAAACAGTTGTACGCGAAATAACGCCCCAAATATTCTGAAAGAGTGGAAGAAGTTTCAACCCAGAGAAATCATACACCTAGGAAGGTTGAAAGGAAAGCAGATCTTTCAATGAAGAACCAGATAAAGAGCAAGCTCGTGCAAGTGTACGGGCGACAAAGAGGAGAAAGAAGGCAGCATTCGGCGTCAATAGACTTTTCCGAGATGCGCCACTTATTCCACTACCATTCAGAACTTTTGTAATGTCTTGGATGCGATTTGGCCTGCACTGAACCCTGGGGCTCAATTAATGAATGCACAGATCACCGTTTCACGCTTTCAGACAGATGACGCTACATATCCAATCCCGGATGGATTGAAGCTTAAAGGCAGCGATTAAATTCAAGAAGGGTTTAGTGGGACGTGGTGGTGCTCAATGGTACGCCGGTAGCGAAAAAAGCAGAAAATTTCCTCAAGAAAACGCAACCCCCTTTCTGGCCGCTAGCCCTCACTTATGAACAGGTAACAACTCAGAAAGTGAGCGTATGAAGTTCACCGCAATGCCTTTGCTGGTACCATACCAATCAACTCTTCAATCGAGATGCTCCATTTGCGTCGCTGCTAAACACGCAGCTCGTCCAAATCAACAAGTGCGCCAGTGGGGATCGCTTTTGGGGGCGGAGCGCTTTCGAAGTCATGCTGAGCACCCAGCGCACCTTAGATTGTGAGAGTGCTACATCTCGCTTCCCTGGCAACCAACTAATTGACTAGTGCAGTGCACATACTTCCCTCCTTATCGTAACCGCTTCATTTAAGTGGCCTGGACGAATCCGAGACCTGACTTACTTACAAACTGATCCACCTGTCAAACAGTTTTCAAGCAGAACAGGTAGCAAAGGCACATCACCGTCTCGGTCGACAGAATTGCTAATAAATGTAAACGTAAATGGGAGCTAAAAATGTGAAGCTCGGCTCCAAAATTGAGGACGGTGAGAATAGAAGGCCCCAAAATTCCGCCTCGTTCCGATTTCCGGTTCCCGCGCCTCTTGTTAATCTCGATTCCCTCTAAATAGGTGGAAAATAGGAGTTGCGAAGGCGTGTGACGTAAGGTTCTGCTCCGAGCTCTAGAACTGGGGATGGTTTCCCATGACACTCTTGATCCACATAACATATGATTCTGTTTGCGTTGCACTGAAGCACATTTTAGATTCACCTTCAGTCTCAACCACAGAAGCTTCCGACAATCTAGATGATAATGACGAGGCCGACACGGCTCAGAAGAAGAAAGGAAAATCACAACCCGCTGTTTCCACTGAGGAGCCTTCTGATTCGGTGGAAATGAGCGACGATCATGGAGCTTCCACAGCTGACCGACCCTCACCCAGCACCTCTGGAAGTAAGACGCATCACTGGGCACTGTTTCACCTCCACGGCATTAACTTTCACTGATCTGTCTCAAAATTGTCTCAAATTGAAAGCTCATCTTAAGACGGCGGCGATGACGACGATACTGAGGACACCACCTCAGCTGAAACAGCCGAAACCACTCCAACGGCCGCTGAAGTTACTGCTGCTGGAATGGAAGTCGGTTCACGAAACGCCTCGGACTTTTGTCGTATTTATGATTTTTCAAATTACTTTTTTAGCCTGAACTAAAGGAGGAGGACGATGATGAAGATTATGTAGCAGATGAAGAGAACGAAGATGTAAGCACTCTATATTTTTCTGTCCAAATTTTATGTTGGTAGCAATTACTGAAGTCCCCTCATTTCATCCCGGTGTTTAAGCTCGACACAGCCACGACTGCAAAGCGACTGGAGAAGAAGGGAGAAAAGGCCAGCTACATCAAGTAAGCTCCTCTCTTACTTTTGATCCCACCTTTTTTTTATCCGAAGTATCGTTATTCAGGTACAAAAAACATCCCAAGAACTTCGCATCAAAAACTGCCAAAATGTCAAAGAAAGAACCAGAAGCGGAGGTAAATATATTTATAGCATTTATAGCAGCATTTATAGCGTTTTACGTGTTCTTTAACAGAAGGGTTACCTTAGTGACAGTTAGAAAAGCTACCGCTTGGTGAACGTGGAGTCGCAAGCTCGACGTTTGGTATGGGTGAGCCAGACAATCTTCATCTCTTAGCAATCGCCCTGTTTTGGGCCCCCTGGCTGACACAGATTTCACTGAACACATTTGTGGTTTCTCTATTATACTTTGATGTAATATTAGGTACCGGACACTTTATTGTCGCTTTTCTTAGTTTAGAAAGTTTTGGGGCCGATTACCATGGAAAATCAATATCTCAGAAAGTCCTCTTTGCTCATCAACACTGCATTATATGTTGGTTATTATTTTCTGTTGTTGGTTCACAATTTAAGATTCCTCTACTTTTCATAATTTTTTTCTTGAAAATTCCTAGGATCAGTGTGCGAATTCGCATGTGTGTACCGAATGCTTCAAAATTCTTGCTGAGAGCTATAACTTCCGCCCACCAGAACAAGATTGCATTTGATGGAGGGAATACTACTATTTAAAATGCTCATCGTTTTTTTCTTAGTACTCTTAAAAGACAATGAAGTCTTTGAAGTGATGCCCGGAATCGTCGTCAAAAAGGTGGCCCTAGTTAAATCCGTCGGGACGGGGGGGGGGGTACCAGTCTTGTGCCGAAATAGTGGGACACCTTAGCACTGACTGATCGTTGATACACGAATGCTTTAACCAAGTTGCACAAGAAATTCTGATGAATGTGCTCATCTGCTACACACGTGTGCTCAAAAACGGTGCGTTTTGACCGCATGTGGCAAAAAAGACTCCGGGAAAAATTGTCCACATAGGCTGGTATGTTTTAACTTTTCCATCACACAATGCAGACTCTACTCTAGCCAACTGTATACTTTTTGTCCAGGCTTAACTTTAAGAAAGCGAGAGGGATGATTTGTGAGATGATGTCAAGACCGACCTACCTCTCTTTTTCAACTCAAAAAATTCCTAGCTTTAATCGTACGAGGTTTCCACTCATACTGGTAAATGGGAAAGTGCTAATGAGTCATTTGATAAAGATGCTTTTGCACTCCTCGGATTCTTAATTAAAATAGGTGGTCCGAAACTCGTGGTGAAAAAACGACACTAAGATATCCGGTACCTAATATATTATTCGGTAGAAGACCTCTCAAGTCTTCCTCGAGGTGTATTCGGAAGTCTCAAATGTAGCCCAGAACTTCTCGACTTTTCCTACAACAATTCGGTGCTTTGTACCTTCTGCAAGCGAGGTTTAATAGATGAAGTTTTGCCCCGGCACCCCAGAACACATAGTGCGAATCACCCCCCCCCCCCCGTAGGCCGCTTCAGTGAATAGGGCGAAGTTATACGTAGTTACTGAGGGCCATTTTGAGCACACGCTTGATAATCCTCTCAATGTCGTTTGTATAGGCAGGTTTTGGAAAACTTGCAAAGACATGATCATTGAAGAAACTGGTGATTTCGAAGTGTTGGGATGGTTGGTGCGCTGGGAGGGGCGGGAGGGATTATGGTGGGTGACATTAGGACCAAGGCCAGGAGAGGAGAGAAATGCTAGGGAGAAGACAAATCGCTCACATCCTCCTTCAGAATCTTTCCCCTAACTAAGGCTTAGTCCTAAGTACTGTAAGTGGCTCACTCGTTTGAATGCCCCCCCCCCCTTTCTCCAGTGACATGAGCGTCGGTTCCATAGTTCTTAACTAGAACTGAATTTGCTACATAGGCTTTCAGAACTTGAGCAAAGTGTGATCCCTTACCGCATTGTAACGTAGAAAGTTAAACTCTACAAAAAGCTTTTTGTCAGACTGAAACAACACCTGCAGAGAACACCGAAGAAAAGGCGGTAGCAGGTAGCTCAAGCGCCGAAGAAGAGGTCCTAATTTGATTGTTTATCTAACACTCCTAAAATTACCATGAAATATTTTAGGAGACTGGCGACTCTCTAGCTGGTGACGAAGATGGAGAGCCAATTGAAGGGCAAACGTCACCCAGTGAGGGCAAGAAACATCTGTCCATTAAGAGAGTGCTCGAAAATACGCCAAAGGAGGATGGTGAAGTAAGTAAGCCCTCACCTTAGTGTTTAAAACATTGTTGAAAAATCAGCACATATATTGTTATGCTAACCAAACTTTCATTTAGCGCAAAATATGGTAGAGCCAAAAGCTCCACCTTTTCTTTATAATACCTTCGTGCGGGGGTGGCGTAGTGGGAGTGGCGTCAGTTAGGCGGATGTCAAACTTTGCGAATCAAGTCGCAGCCAGCGAGTCGCTCTTTTGGCTAGTACCGCAACGCGAACGCGGACGCTATCGAGTTTTGCTCGACTCGCAAAGTCTGACATCGGCCAGGATAACCCTGGATATAATCTCGTCCAGGTTAATCACGCCTTCCTTCCTTCAAAGAATATCTAATCGGTGCCATCTTGGTGAAGACAAGACATTAGCTGCTGGATTCCATTTACGTCCTATTACTGATACAATCTCGAGAATACATAGTGCAGTTCCCTCTGCTTCACAGAAACCTATTCCTGCTCTCCCAGCGTAGGGCAATTCAAAGTGGCTGCAATTTTTTTCTTCTTATAAAATAAACTTTATAATTCGAATAAGGAACATTTTTTTGAGTTTTTCCTACTCGGCTTTCTCGTCGAAGTCTCAAAGCTTGAACTCCTATTCATCAATAATTGCTTATTTGTGCAAAACATGGGAATATCGATTGCCGAAATTTTATATTGATCATTGAATTTGGTGTTCACGTTCCAGGACTACCCAACCTACTTCTCTGACTGGTCCGACTGGACTCCGTGCACGAAGGCTGGCGAACGACAGATTCGTCGGCGAAAGTGTCTAGATTTACGCCGTTGCCTCGGCGCTTTGATGCAAGTCCGCAACTGTCCGGCGGTATTGCCTGAACCAGTCCGTAAGTTTTTTCTCCATATCTGTTGGTATTAATCGAAGAAGGGGCGTGTCTCTACGGGTCTTTTCAGAATCCGGTCCTATCGAGTCTGTGCGTTCAGTGATCGATGTGCCTCGAATTCCAGAATATGACGACACAGATCGTACGAAATCTTAGCTTCAATACTTATTTCCAATTAAAGATTTATATGTCTGTTACTACGCTGCTGTTGCCTTCCTGAGAGCAAAGCGATCCTTTCAGCCGGCCAAGTCGATCTTCGCCAGCCATCTGGTTCACAGGTCGCAGAAAATGTATGGAGTCCATGGCTGGGAGTGTGCCAGGTACGATAACAAAATTACTACTCTTCAACCTTTCTGCTCTTGCCTTCATCTTATTTTGGCGTACTTGTTCGCCCTTGATTTTCCTACGTTAGCTGCTTGTATTCCTCCATCCGTATAAGGCTGTGCTAGGCACGGTGTTGCCCTCTACATTTCGCCGAAGTTCACTTTTGATAAGTGTTTTCGTTTGAATCGCACTCACTGGGAGACGATAACCTTTTCGGCGAATGCTCCCACCGGTTTGTTAGTAGAGACATGCAGAAATCCCGATCCTTCTTTCGTTGTTAGAAAAGTGTCAACAAAAATATTGCGAGCTCTTAATGAGATTGAAGCTAACCCCCTGGACTAGCAGCCTCTTGGGGTTTGAGTAAGGAGCAAAGCCACGCTGGAAGCGCTTCTTTAAAAGGAAACGAAAGACACCCTCCCACCTTATTTTTCAAAAGGAGACCAGAAGTTGCAAAAGTCGCGATTGTCCCACCATCATGTTTTCCCTCAGTAACCCCGAATACGAGTACCCCTTCCCCTTCACCCGAAAATCATTGTTCGGAACTTCACAACCCGGGCCGCTGTGGTCAGGAAAACCCAATTGTGGTTTCGCGAGATATCCTAAATAATGCTCCTGCTTCTCAGGAGCACCTTGACGTCAAATCACGAGCTACTGATAGAGTATGCCAAGTACCACTCATTTCGCAACATGAGCTCAAAAAATTTAACGTGGGATTTACTTCAGTCCTTAGTCCTTCCGAGTTCTGAAAAACGCTCCCCATGGGATAAGTTAACGCGCTTGCGCGTCAGGCAAATAACGCCCGCCAAATCGCTCATGTCCAGGGTCAACCGTCCGGTGGACAAAGTCTAACGCGACGACGAGAGTAATGCCGAGAGTGAACGTCCGCACGGAGACGCTGCGGGTGGTGAGAGTGAATGCCGGCGCGGAGAGCGCGTGAACATCGGTTCCAACGTCGCTCCAATATCGGTCCAACGTAACGGTTGACCCTGCTCATGTCCCATGCGGCGAAAAACTCAAAACCGGCACTGTCGTCAACGCGCTAAAGACTGTTCCCGGATGAAAGGTTATGCAATTTGGAACAAACACTGTCCCAGCATACAAAAAAGACGGGGCTGCCTCATTTCTTTTTTGGGCGTCTTTCCATTTTTTTTGCCTTTACAGTTCATACATTGCTATGCTGTTCTAATTGCAGCATTTCGCGTCCGGTCAGCCATGCAACAATGGAGAGATGATTGGCTTTGAGTCACGTGAATGTATCGCCAAGGAGCCAAGTCTCTGCGAAGGACCATTCTTCAGATACTGTACACTGCCATGTTAATTGCCATTGCTTTGAGATCATTCCTCTCCTGTTCCTTTCGCTTAGTCGTTCTTTCGCTGGCTCACCAGTCAAATTATTGATTAGCCACTTTTTGTGTTATTATTTAATTATTCGTCTTCTGGTTTCCATGTGCAATTATAATCGTGCCCGAACGTCATTCTTTCTATTTCATATGGGTGCATTCCAGCCGTTGATATCTTCAAGTTGTACTTTTCATTCGTACAGATTGTATTTGCACTTTTACACAGAGTTTCCGGTTTCTTAGCAACGCCTACAACGACTTTCTTCCTTCGTTCTTGTTGGGTGTCTTAGGGCATTTTATAGTCTTGCTCTTCAAAACATTAGTAGTTATACAAAAATAGTAATATACCGTTTAGGACCGGCGAAATAATTCGGTTTTTCCTATTAAATATTTGGTGTGCCTTTGTACTGCTGATTTGTGTATAAAAATATTTTATTGACTTGTAAAGTTGTAAAAATCATTGCAAAGTCGAGAAGGTGACATCCATAGCCAGCGATATACTTTACTTTACTCAATATCTGTTCACTTTTCACAGTAGGACGTAGGGCTCGAGAGAAATCTCTTACTCCCACCTTTGAGGGAGATAGATGAAAATAGCCTGAGGTTCACACAGAGTTTCCGGTTTCTTAGCAACGCCTACAACGACTTTCTTCCTTCTTTCTTGTTGGGTGTCTTAGAGCAAAGCTAACCAGACAGACTGTCCGCGTGCAGCGTGTATTCACACCACTTGCTTCGCGCGCGCGCTACCGTATCCGAGCTCGTATGAAAGTCACGGACACACACACTCTCTTCCCACTTTCGTTTTCTCTGCGCTCTCTCATGGGGGAGAGAATGCGTCGAGCAACCCCGCGCACTATACTAAGCGCCGTTTATGAATAACGTGGATGATGGCTCAAGCACTAGTTCAGCAAAGCTCCACTCTTCACCGTGCTTAAACCGGCAAAGAGTAATAGTGGTGAGCCGCTGAAGTGCTTGGGCGGCACGTTGGAGTTTACCTCCCTTGCCCTGCGCGGGAAGCGCGCGCGGCGTTGGTCTCGCCGCGGTAGGGCTTCTCCCATGGTTGGATGCAGCGTGTATTCACACCACTTGCGCTGCAAGTGGTGTGAAGCTTACCTCGGTGTCTTAGGGCATTTTATAGACTTGCTCTTCAAAACATTAGTAGTTATACAAAAATATTAATATACCGTTTAGGACCGGCGAAATAATTCGGTTTTTCCTATTAAATATTTGGTGTGCCTTTGTACTGCTGATTTGTGTATAAAAATATTTTATTGACTTGTAAAGTTGTAAAAATCATGCAAAGTCGAGAAGGTGACATCCATGGCCAGTGATGAGCAGTTGTTTTGTTCTGATAGAACTGATGGTGGTGCTCACTGCTCGCTGGGGTGTTTGCGCAAGTCCTTGCCAGACATTCAACTATGCGTACCAGGCCATGTATGGGACAAGAAGGGCCTGTCAACCCCCGATCTGACCTGGCAATAAAATGGAACAAAAGATAGATCAGGCAGGGCATGAAGCAGTCCCTCTTCGAGATGTGCCACGCATCCGTCGTTTGCATGGGCTTTGAGTGGTTGGTCAGTGCAGGGAATCATGAGGCCGGTAAAAGTGCAGACCCCGTTTATGTGCCCATTCTCTCTTGACAAGTATTGTAACTGTGTATTGACTGCAGGCGATAGAATGTTTTCTTGGTCCTTGCAAGATTTACCATGTACTACTTCTTACTGCTTCATATAGTCCCTCCGACCTCAGTAATAAATAGTAATGGTGCAGTGCAGTGCTGTAATAAGTGGAGGTCTAACCAGGAAAGCTTTTCAAGGCATGAAAGAAGAAAATTTTTTTTGAAAGTGGTTTTCGTATGATGAAGGGGTGCATGCATGGAGTACAAAACTAGGCTCCGTTTTTTTTGTATGAGTGGCCCTATGAATGCCAAAAAAGGGAGAAAAATCGGTGGAGGGATCAGTCCCGGCTGATGACAAAATTTTGCATTTCACGTTAGCGCCTGTTAAATGTCGCCAAAAGTTGCCGCCGATAAAGATAGGCACCGTGTTAACAATGGCAGGATCACCATTAGATTTTCTGATTAGCTTTCTGCCCAAAATTGGGGCGAAAATTGTACGGCGCTCAAGCGGCGCCGAAATGGTGCCCGATGAGGCTAAAATGGCGCAATATCGCGCCTCCATCAAAAGTGGAAGTCCGATTCATCAGCGCCTATAATTATCCTTATAGCTGCAGTTATAGAGAAAATCAAGATTTTGTCCCGAATTCAAAAATTGGGTAAGCCCATAGTCAGTACGACACGCGGGCGGGTCTCTTGGAGACAGCTTCAAGATGATAGCGAGCAGTACGTCCGGCTGATGGTTACACTTTCACCACAGTTCCTGTCCGTGGGACAATTTGGCATCACCACCTGTTCTCGTCGATGCATGGCGTATACCTGGGTGGCCGCCGGCCACGTCGATGAGCATCCTGGACATTCCCCAACGCCGGCAACGGCGATGCTTCATTGAGTTTTACCATTACTGCTATTTAACACGTTGACGACCGTGCTCGTTTTCACTGTCCAGCGTGTGGGACCGCGTGAATGTGACATGACATCAAGTCACACGGCCCCACGAGTATACAATCTTTTGGGGAACTGTTTGTTTGTTATCTTTCTTCTGTAGTTGGTCTCGAGTTTTGCGATTTTGGTCATTTCAGCTATTCCTGCGATTTCAGAGTGCTTAGAAAGGGCTAAAGCTAACGTGCGATTAGGAGGTACCTTCCTAGGATCACTTCCTTATCCCCTCATCTCGAGCTTATATTAGGATAGTTGGATTACAATTGATTACATGTCGAAACCCACTCATAGACTCGAAAGTTCGTGGGAAAGGAGGAACGGAGGCGAAGGAAAACGTTCACAGACAATGTGTAGCGGCTACAACCATGCAGGATCAAAGGACGCGCACAGTCGGTCTCCGACCAAAAGTGTCCTCACCTACTGTAGCAAATTATTATTGCAAACATTTTTTACCGATCAATTTCAGCCTAAGCACAAAAAGTGCACTTGATTATTAATCGAACATTTTTCGAAAGACTCGATGGCCCATTAACCGAAGATTCTTTCGAGGGAGCACTGCTTTTGTAGCAGTGCCTGAGCATGGCGTGTACATCACACAAATAAGTTACCCAAAATGTTTGAAAACCGGCTTTAAAAATACTGTGACATGACATCATGTCACACATTCCCACGTGGCCGAAAGAGTGTGGTGTGACATCATACCACGCGGTCGTCAACGTGTTAATTATTGCTAATAAACGGAATTTTGTACACAACTGAAAACGCTTGGTAACAAGACTATTGCAGAGTTGTTGGAGAAAGTTCTCGAAAATGACACTTATAGGCATTAAGTTCACGCGCAACCACATGTGAATGCAAAAAAGGGATAATCGAAAAGACGCAAAAACCCGGTAATGCCGGGCAATCGAACCAACAACCCCGAACAAACCGTAAACAACCATGGTCCATCATGCCGCCGCTGGCAGATACGGCTCTCATGAAACTCCCTTATGCTTTTTATGCACTTAAAATGTTTAGTTTTTGTTTTTGGCTTTATTCGACGTTGCTTCCAACGTCTACGTGAAGGAAGCCTTCTATTATGCACCCACTCAACGCTATGAGTGATACAAACCACGTTGAAGGTCTGAAAACTGCGATTTCCGAAGAAACTTATTTCACTGCTGTTTTAGCACTCAGAGGGCCGCTCAGAAAAAATGGAGCCTAGTTTTGTACTCCATGCATGTACCCCTTTATTATGTAAAAAAAAACCATTTTCAAAGAGCGCTTCATGTCCTGGAACGCTTTCCTGGTAAGGGCGTTGCGTAACGAATAAATGATTGGTGTATGTATGCGCCATGCACTGCATCCAATATCCTACCTGTTACTGGTAATGACCTACTGCGATAGTTGACCAGTTTTTATCAAAGATTTCAGCCTGAATGAGGAGAAGAGTTCTACAAATGCATTAATTCAACAACCAGCCAGTTGCACCATCCTGTGTGTGGTGAGCGAAGAGTTGGGCTAAAAAGAACAGGAGCTGTGGACGATACGATGTGAGGCGCCGTCATCGCAGAAGATGCGCTTAAATCGAGGTTATTAGCGCTCCGTCCGCCCATCGCGGTTACTGTCCTATTTCGTTCGTCTCGCTGATCTTCACGCTCTCTCACATCGGCGAAATTCTTTATCTCCTCTTTGCCTTTATTTCTCATCTCGCTACCTGTCGTTTCTTCTCCTTTACAATGTAGAGCGAAGTTCTCAATTTTTTCTCGGAGAAGTCCACTTTGCACCCATAGTTCCATTCGAGCGCTTTGCTCCACAGCTTGCTCCTGGAGCGTGCTTTTGGGGAAGTCGGAGCCTTCCGTGTGGGCAGGTTTCTCGGTGAGGAACCTTGAATTTTGATCATGAGACAGGAAGTCAGTCTGCGTATCCTTATGCTATTGAGAAACTGCCACGTTTGAATTAGCGCAACAGGTGATAGAACTCCGATATTTTTAGCCTAGAAATGTGCGTCAAAAATTCATCGCATGAGCTATGCATTGCAACATGTGCATGCAACCTGGAGTGTAACATCTATTAAAATAACCCACATGGGATTGTTTTTGAGACATCGTCATGCTATTTGCCACGCATTAAATTGGCGTTTGATTTTTATCCCAGTCGCCATTATGTGAATGGGTTTGGCTTCCAGCCAGTTTTTACCAAGCCTGCCCCACAGCTGTGGACTATGAGTGTTGCAGAATCAGCTGATCATGTCGGAAGGTAATTCCCCGCGTTTTCGAATTTCTTCAATGTAATAATTAATGATAAAAGTAATCATCACAAGTCACAGCGCTTCACACTCCGACTGTATGTAGAGCGCTATTTTTGAGTTCATGTATAAAGGTCGTGAAATTCGCCGGTATTCGTGTTTGAATAGCCCTGGGAGAGGAGGAACTTTTAGAA